AAATGCGTTGAAGATTGATGAATAAAAACCATAGAACTATGTTAAATGTCATTTGAAAACGATGTTCAAATACGTTTGCGTCCACCATCACTAATCTACTCTAATACGTACTAATTTCCGTACCTACGCGAATTTATTAGCACAAACGGATTTTAAAGAATTCTATATTTATCAATAAACGATTTAATTCATCTCTGATTCTAGTAGACGAAAAATTTCTACCATCAATAAATAGGGCTTCTCCAATCTTCTTCTTCGAAGTCGAGAGAAAGCCGATCTCGATCACGCCAGTCGGTTAGATATCCATCCCTTGCTCCATACTTGAGAGGTGTCTTTTGTGTTTCATAACTTTCATCGGTATATGACAGCGTTGGCATAGCCCAATATGATGGTTCGTAATTCATTTGTACAAATGAGCATTGTACTTGTTCAGCCTGTTATGATATCATAAAATTAATCGTATCTTGCACTATTCGACCATAAGAACGAAAAAATATTTTTTACCCCAATAAAGGCAACGGGATTATTATAACTCATTATGGGAATTTTTGAACTAATTCCTGACGCAGTTTCTGCGATCACTTCCCCTAAAGTAGTTGATGAATCGGTCGGCTCTGGTACAACATTAGATTTTGACGGTTCAATTATGTATGACGGATCAATTCGTTCTCGTGTTTTGTCGAAGGTTGTAATTTGTTCGATTGGAATTATTTTGCGGGATGTTCTTGGAGACGTTTTGCGTTTACGTTTACGTCTACCTTCTGTTTGAGGCTTTAGTTGATCCTTGGTCACCGCAAATCCGTATGGAGAATGATAATTCTTGAAGTCAGGATTTGTGATTTTAGTTGCTTTATATAGAGAACGAGAATGGGACGAATTTTGCTCTGCAGCAAGTTCAGGATATAAAGATCCCTTGCGATGTACCCTTGGACCTATCGAACGGACCATTTTTTGCTTTGAAAATAAACAATCAAGAAAAAGGTTTATCTTAATAATTTCTTCAAGAATTGGAAAAGTGTCTGATTTATCGTAAATGCGATATGGCAAGTAATCTTACGTCACGTTTTTATGCAACGTTGATCGCACACTAAATTTAGACTCCATTGTCTCTAGTAATACGTAACATTTTATTGGTGGCTTGGCTCGTTATATGTGTTATATGTACAGTCATTCAAAAAGTAACTTTGATAATGTACAGTATACTATAAATACTGTATATATTAATAGTTTATTTATTTTATTTTATTTTCAACCCAATTGATTATTTTAAAAACAAAAAAAAAATTTTTTTTTATTTAAAAAAATGTTTAAAAAACTTATTATTTAATTGATATATAGATTATATTATACTAAAAAATTTTATTTAATAAATATTTTTAAAAACTTTATTGAATCAAAATTGAAACAAGAAAATATCAATTTTTATTAAATTTTAGTTTAAAAATTTATATATTAATATAATATATTATTTTTTATTTATTTTAAATAAATTAATTTTTTTTTATTTAAGTAAAAAAAAAAAATTTATCAAAGATTTATTTTTTATTTTCAATAACATTATTAAAATACATAAGTATAATTAATAAAAATTGTTTATATTTTAAATAATTGATATATTTTATATTAATTAATTATAGTATATTTGATAAAAATTAAATTATTTAAAAATTTAAAATTAAATTGAAATAAAATAAATTTTCAACTATAAAAGTATAAGTTTTAGAAGAATTAAGACAATTAATAAAAGAATAAATAAATTTTTTATTATAAAAAATCTTTATAATAAAATATTTCAAATATAAAAAAGGGTTTAAAAAATTTTTTAATTAATTTTTTTTTAAAAAATTATCTTATTATAAATAATAAAAATATTATTTTCTTTTTTGAATAATCAAATTTTTAATTAAAGATATTTATAAATAAAAAAATATATTATTGTTATTAATTTTTTAAAATATTTTTTAAAAATAAAATTGATATTTTATTAATTAAAAAATTAAAAAACTTATATAAATACTTTTTTATATAAATTGATTTTTTCAATTTAATTTTTTTATTAATTTTTTGACAATATATAAAAAAAATATTTATAAAAAGTTTTATAATTTTATATTAATAAAATTCTATTATTTTTTTTAAAATAATTTAATGAATAATTTCAAAAATCTTTTCTATTTTTTTTTTGCTTGTTTATATTTCTTTTCTAATAAAAATTTAATTTTCAATAATTAAAAAAATCAAGAGATATATTTTTTATTTATGATAAAAAAATTTATAAAGAAAAAAATTAATAAAATAATATAAAAAATCTATCTTTTGAAGTAAAATTATATATAAAAATCTATTGTAATGAGAAAATAAATAAAAAAAATACAATTCTTGAAAACTTTATTATTTATTATTATTATTTTCTTATAGTTGCTTCTTTTTTAAACTTTTTAAGAAATTTTTACTAGTTGAAATTATATTATTCACTGTTGAATTATTATTGAATTTGAAAAAATTTAATAATAAAAATATTGAAGAATCTTTTATGATTGTTGCCATTTAGCATTAAAAATATTAGCAAAAAATTGGTAAAAAAATATCAATAAACTATAACAAAAAATATTGATATACTTCAATAAAAAAATTCGACACAAAATTTAGTAATATTGTAGCAAAAAAAAACTTTTTGCATACTATAGCAAAAATTCAGTAAAAAAATTGATATTATAGCAAAAAATTATTGTGGAAAAAAATTTAACAAAAAATTGATACTGTGACAAAAAATTTAACAAAAAAATTACTATAACAAAAAATTCAAATTTCACAAAATTTATTAAAAAATTCCAAAATAATTATCTAAATTATTCAACATTTTTCTTTTTCTCTTCTTCTTTCTCTTTCACTTGCTTTTTTTTTTCCTTTAAAAATTTTAGTTTGACTCTTTTAAAATTAACTCAAATTGGTTTTATATTGTCAAATGTTTTTTGAAATTTTTTGTTTTTTTTTTTTTTTTTTTCTAATCTAATTGTTCTCAAATTTTACTTATTTATATACTTTTTTTAGTTTGTTTTTCACTCTCTAAATATATTAATAATTTCTTATATTCAGTAAATTTTCATCTTTTGTATTTAATTGTTGATTTTTTACCTTTTTCTATCTTTTTTTTTTTATTTTCAGTTTAAAATTTATTTTAAACTATATATCCAATTTGGTAAACCTTTTGATAACATCATATCCTAGAAATATAAATTGTCATAATATTATTTTAAGTCAGCTGAAATGTTTGAATTGG